TGCGAGAGGAACGAAGCTGCGGCGCCTGAACCCAGTCCGGTGTGGCTAAGGAGCAGAGGAGGCCAGGAAACCGCATTGGCCCTGAATACGCATTCGAGCACCGAGCCCGATCGGTCGGCGAGCGAGACCGGCCCCCCTGAGCGACGGGGAACCCTCTGCGCAGCCGGCGCCCCGGGCAGGGGAGGGGAAAAGAGGAGGGAAGAGAGGAGAGGGGGAGAGGAGAGGAAGCGAGGAGAGAAAAGAGAGGAGGGGAGAGGAGGGGAAAGGAGGTGGAGAGGGGAAGATCTCGGCCGAAGCGACGCCTCTCGATCTCGAGCGGCGCGGGGCGGGAAGAGAGCGCGTCCGCCGCCGCACCCTTGCCGCCGACCGCGCCCGCCTCCTGCCCCGCGCCGAAACTGTCCTCCTCTCCCTCTCCGCCTCCGCCGCCAGCCTCGTCGGCGCCGACCGCCTCCACGCCCTCCTCCCCCTCCCCCTCCTCCTCCTCCCCCTCTCCCCTCTCCTCCTCCGCCGCGTCCCCCTCCAACGCTCCAGCGGCAGCCTGCACCGGCGCCTCCGCCTCGACGACGGTCGCACGCAGCTCTGGCAGACCGCTCTCGCTCACCTACAGACCCCAAACCGCGCACCGATGCCACACCCCCCTCCTCCTCCTCCTCCTCCCGCAGCCGAGCGCACACGCACCGAGAACTCGAGCCGCACCGCCTCGCCCGCCCGCGGCCCCTCCTGCCCCGCCCCTGCGCCGCCCCCGCGCCGCACGAGCGGCCTGCGCCGCTGCGATCCGCCGCCACCCTTGAGCTCGGCGCGCAGCAGCGCGGGGCTGGCGGCGCCGTCGCACCCCGCGCGCACCTCGCAAGTCAGCGGGACTGTCCCTTCGACCGAAGCGCGCCACGGCAGCGGAGCGCGCGCCGGCGCGTCGACACGGCCGGCGAGATCCGAGGCAACAGCACCGCCGCCAGCACCAGCAGCGGGAGGCGGGTGGGTGGAGGCCCACTCGAAGGTGTAGCCAGCCGAGAGGCACTCGCAGACGGCAAACTCCTATCGCCCTCCGTCTCATTCTGACGACCGAGGAGGAGGAGGAATCGCTCTCGCAAGCACGCACGCTCCTTGGCGCGGAAGGACCGGCTCGAAAGCGCGGCCGCGAGCGCCGCGCCGCGAGCGACCGCCTAGAAGCGGAACATCTCCCCATCTCTCCCCATCTCTCGTGCCTAGAAGCGGAACATCTCCCCATCTCTCCCCAGATCTCGTGCCTCCTCCGCGTTGAGCGAGCGGCGCGTCGGCATCTGGAAGGAGGTAGAGACGGCCTCCCCGACGGCAGGCATCCTCGAGAGGCCTCCCAACATCTCGACGGAGTAGACGTCGCGCGGCTCGAGGCCGGCGCCGCGCAGCGCCGCGCAGCACGCCTCCCGCACCCGCCCAAGCAGCGGCGCCTGCTCACTGCCTCGCGTGAGAAGAGGCGCTGTCCACGCCTCCCCGCCCCCTCCTCCCGCCCACGCAGCGGCGCCGCCATCTCCTCGAGCTGCTCGATCTCGGCTCTCTCTCGGCCATATCGCGGGTACTCTCGCGCCGCCATCTCCCTCGAGCTATACCTACCTCTCTCGCTACGCCTCGGCTAGATCTCGGCTAGATCTCGCCGCCATCTCCTCGAGCTGCGCGCGCGTGAGGCAGCCCGACACGTCCGTCTCGCCGACCAAACACTCGAGGGAGAAAGACGCGTCTCTGTTCGCCGAGAGCACGCGCCGCAGCCCCTCGCACGCGGCGCGGAGCCTGCTCACGGCTGCAGCTGTGAAGAGACGCCGTTCACGCA